AGCGCTTTGCAGGACTCGCTGTCAAGTGCGGTGATGGTTTTTATTTTGTAAGCAAACGCTATTCATCTGTACGGGGCTAGTGAAGCAAGAAGCGTCAACCCTGTTTGGCTTTTGATTGCACTGCTCAAACCTTGGGCGTTGTGAGCAATCTATGCTCGTGCACCATCTAGTGTCAAGCATCTGCGCTGTAGCAATGCACAGTAGATTTTGTATTCCGAGCGTGGGACAAACCTTTTCGTTGACAAATGCCTGGATTCGTATCAATGTAATACAAGTAATCCTTGCATTGAATATTACAGTGTAGCCTGTGAAGCGCTTTGAGACGTCTCAATGATGTGATAAGGCGCTGTATCAAATGCAAGGATTATTATTATATATTACATATAACATAAATTGGGCTTTTCATGCCAAGGAGATCGTTACAAAACTGCTTCGCAGGATTTGCTGATCAGTGTGGTGACGGTGTACGTGTAAGGAACATGACCCTCAATAAATCATTTTTTTAACCAACTTGTTGAAAGCTTAGCCTTGAAATTCAATCCTTTTTTAAACAAGGTATCGAGCCAGTCCTCTGTGACGGTCTCTAGTCCGGTTCCTGAGCCAGGCGGGTCCGCAGTATTCCAGGGCATTACTGATGACAGCACAGCCCGGCCTGGCTCATCGGCCGGACTTGGAAGGGCAGACCAGTAACTGGGGGCAGGGAATCATCCCACTCAGCTCCTGTTAAGCCTGCAAGCCTGACGGATAGGGTGGTCCTAGCTGGACAAGCGTCGGGAAAGCCTGCCGGACATTAAACAAGGTGACAGGACCTTAAAGAGACACCAAATAAGTAGTGACAACAGGCAAATGCTATAAAAGGTGAAGATCTCCCAGGAGCTAGGGATCTGCAGATGCTTTTACCTGTTCTCGCATATTGCAGTAAAGGTCATCTCCTGCAGGAATATTGTATAACTACTGTCTCGTATCATTGTACACTGTCATTGCTAACTGTCAGAAAAATACTGGGGGCAGAGGGGGGAGGGGAGGGGAGATTTGGGCGACAGGGGGTTGATGGCCATTACTTCTTCATTCAAGTTTAATCTCAGGTCATTGTTGCAAATGAGATTTACATCTTACACTGAAGAACGTTTAACCGAAAGTAGAAACACACCATTCAAAGGCAAATTGGCAATTAATTTGGCAATTAAAAGCTCACTTCCTTCTGTAAAACTTCTCTGAGATACAAAGGCGCATCTCGTGTGCCGAGGAAATGTGGCACAGGAATACGAATCGCACTTTCTGTTACAAAAACAACAAATCACATTGTATAGCAGCTTACGTGTCAGAAGGACGTCCCAAGACGCTGGACAGTTAAGGGTTTGCACCCGAGTGGGGTTGGGAATTAAGAGAGGCGGAGTGTGGGGTTGGGGAAATGGGAGTGACAAAGTCACAATTATTACCCCCTTCCTCCCCTATGCATTATGAGTGAGGGGTGCACTCATTTTTGCCAGTGTAAATTAACACCATGCAGGCTTAAACAAATTGGCAAACTTTACTCCCATGTAGATTTTGGCCTTAAGGTACTGGACTTTGTACATTTGAGTCGATGAAATGAGGGAGAGTGAAAAATTCCTATATTACTGCATTCCACTTTGCGTCAGAAAGATGACTGCATTGAGTCGAGGAGTATTTTTCACTCATTCTGCTTTGAATTTTGCATTGTGCACCACAAAGGAAAAAAAGTTAGCCCTCAACACGAAGGAAGCCTTTATAGTCTATAATCTACACACAATCCCCCAGGTAGAAATTATTCAATCACCTCGTGGCTGTTCTTAGGGTATTACTGTGCGCACATTGGCTTCTGTGTCTGCCTACACAATGTACCAGTAGATGGTAGCATCACCACACAATCCCTAATGAAGCTGAACCGGAAAGTTTCATTCTGTAAACTAAAAGAATATTGTTTCTCATGGATGAATATATTTATAATAATCTTTGCCTTTGATATAGCAACGTATCTTGCCATAGAAAAGGCACTTCAAGGAATGATTGTAAAATGCAGTGACTGTGTCTTTTTGTAGACGAACACGGCATCCAGTTTGCACACAGCAATGAAGTGAACAAACAGCCATGAAGTGAATGACCAATTTTATCTGAGGGAATATTATCCAGGGCACCAGAATCAACTCTTTTCTCTTTTCGAATAATGCCATGGGATCTTTTCAACGTCCGCTTCAACAGCCAGATATAAAGTATTCATGACAAGGTTGCAGATAATAATAATAATAATCCTTGCCTTTGATATATCGCCTTATCACGTTTTCAAGACTTCTCAAAGCGCTTCACAGAATATACTGTCGAGTGAATTGACAGTATATTTTGTGGACGAAATGCGGCAGCCAATTGCGCACAGCAGCGTCCCACAAACAGTCGTGGATTGAGTGAGCACTCAATACAACTAAAGACGACTAAAATGCTTATGCCTTTGTTCGTTGTTTTTTTAAAATTTACAATGATACAGTCAATGAGGGGCTTACATTATCAGTTTGACCTTCTTGTTGTTCACACCCAACAGTGCTAGAGAAATGTGCAGATTACTCAACGGTTTAAAGATGCTAATCCTTAAAGCACGCACTCCCATATTTTTAAGTGAATTCACTTTCAAGGAATTCAGCTCCAGTAGAGGTTAAAATATATAATTCTTCCAGAATAAACCGAGAATAGGTTGTAAGAAAATGCACAAAGGTGCTCCCATAATAAGTCGAATGCATCGTGTGGAAGATCAACGCACTGCATTCAATTAGCAGGTATTTTTCTCCCCTTAAAATGACACAAACTAAATTAAGTGACAATTGGCCATTTTCATTTCCATTATTTTATTGGATTATTTAAATATAAATGGGGTGAAGTCTCTGGTTCATTCCAAATTCATTCAGAGTATTCTAACATCACAGTAGCTGCCAAACAATTTTTTTTTTTACAATGCAACTGTATTCCACTATTTAGGGAGTCTTTTTTCTCATGATTTGCTGTTTCACATATAGCACCACACCCAATTTATCTTTTGCTGTAATCCACTACTAACAGAACCATCATCTTCACTAAGCTTCAACCACTAAATACAGAAGCACATGCAATTAATTCACTGGCCAGAAGACATTGTGCGCTTGGTAAGTACAATTCCCTTTGCAGGCTGTTTCCTTTATTCACCAAAGATTACTGTTCGCAGTGTAATTGCTTACTATGTGCATCATCAGTAGTGTTTGTGCTGAAGGGAGCTTTTCTAGTATTTTGATTTTTTGTTCCGTGTTTTCCTGTGTGAAAAAGTGCCATTTCAAGTGTACGTGGAGTCCTGTAGCTCAGTGGTTAGAGCACTCGCTTTGCAAGTGAGAGAACTGAGTTCAATTCCAGGCAGAGGGCGAAACCTCGGGCAAGTTTCCTTACTCCACACAGAGCCTAATAATAATGTCTCCAAAACCAAAAACAATAATTAAAATTGGTCATTTTCAATCTACGACTGTTTGTGGGACATTGCTGTGCGCAATTGGCCGCCGCGTTCGCCCACAAATATACAGTCAATTCACTTTACAGTGTGTTCTGTGAAGCGCTTTGGGACGTCCTCCCGACGTGAAAAGCGCTATATCAAATGCAAGGATTATTATTATTATTATTATTAATTCATACTCTGATGACTTACCACCCATTCATATTATTATTACCCATTAACAACCCACATCATTATTATTCATCATCAATCAACCAATATTTATTATTACTTCTGATTATCAAGTAATTAATTAATTAATTGATGTCGCTATAAATTAAATATTACTGGTAGTAATAGTTAGCATTATTTTTTATTGCAGTGCAAAGTACAGTGGCAGTGCTTTTGAACGTAGCTCCTCCCACCTGTGCCACACAGAGCTGTCAATCACGTCGGGGGGTGGGGAGGGGGGGAGGAGCGAGAGAGTCCCCCCGCGTGCGCATGCGCTGATGCGAGCTGCCAGCCCAGCCCCCGGGAGGGGGTGTTGTGCGCATGCGCCATCTCGAGCTGTCAGCCCAGCCCCCGGGAGGGGGTGTTGTGCGCATGCGCCATCTCGAGCTGTCAGCCCAGCCCCCGGGAGGGGGTGTTGTGCGCATGCGCTATCTCGAGCTGTCAGCCCAGCCCCCGGGTGGGGGTGTTGTGCGCATGCGCCATCTCGAGCTGTCAGCCCAGCCCCCCCCGGGAGGGGGCGTGGTGCGCATGCGCTGACCTGGAAGGTGCGGGCGGGAGGGATTTTTTTTTCGACGGTTGCCGCGCTGGTCACCGGGTGGCCATGGCGCCGCTCTCCAACCGTGTCCTGGGCGACAGGTAACAGACCGAGGCTCAGTGTGTGAGTGAGTGTGTGTGAGAGAGAAGGAAGGAGAGAGAGAGAGAGAGAGAAGGCGGGAGAGAGGCTGCGGCCTAGAGGGAGGGAGGGAGGGAGCGCGCGGCCTTCTGGTTCCCATAACAACCGCCCACAGACATCCCCCAGTTACCTGGGCTTCAGGGAACCCTGTGTCAGGGGCTGGTGTCAGGGGGGGCTGGTGAGAGAAGGGGGGGGCTGATGAGAGTGGGGGGGCTGGTGAGAGTGGGGGGGCTGGTGTCAGGGGGGGGTGGTGTCAGGGAGGGGGGGCTGGTGTCAGGGGGGCTGGTGTCAGGGAGGGGGGGCTGGTGTCAGGGGGGCTGGTGTCAGGGGGGGCTGGTGAGAGTGGGGGGGGGCTGGTGTCAGGGAGGGGGGGGTGGGGGTGGTGTCAGGGAGGGGGGGGGGGGTGGTGTCAGGGAGGGGGGGGTGTCAGGGAGGGGAGGCTGTTGTGAGAGGGGGGGGCTGGTGTCAGGGAGGGGTGGGGGTGGTGTCAGGGAAGGGGGTTGGTGTCAGGGAGGGAGGGGTGGGGGTGGTGTCAGGGAGGGAGGGGGGGCTGTTGTGAGAGGGGGGGCTGGTGTCAGGGAGGGAGGGGGGGGGTGGTGTCAGGGAGGGGGGGTGGTGTCAGGGAGGGGGGGGGGGGTGGTGTCAGGGAGGGGGGAGAGCTGGCTTTTTACTCTGTGAGGAGGAAGTTGTGTTACAAAGGAAAAGCTTTGGCAATTGTTGGGTGGAAAATGTAGAATAAAATCAGGATATATTGGAAATGCAGCGCAGGCGGATCAGAAGCTTAAAGAAGCCCTGGGTTCGGCCCGCGAGGACTCTTTTGTGGAGGATTTTCCCTTCCTGGGCCGGTGAGGTTTCAACGATTCGATCGACCACCTCGTTCCTGGGCCTCGGGTACAGTCAAGTGTCGAGGTAGGTGAGTGCCTCACGTCAAGCCGTTTACATGTCACTAAATGGCGCTTTGTGTTCCAACAGTAACTGAAGGATTAAACCAAGCTTATAATAATAATAATAATAATAATCCTTGCATTTCATATAGCGCTTATCACGTCTCCAAGACGTCTCAAAGACCTCCTTCACAGGATGTACTGTCAAGTGAAATGGCTGTTTTGTGGGCAAAACGCGGCAGCCAATTGTGGACAGCAGTGTCCCCCATGGATTGAGTGACCAAATTATTATTTTTTAATTTAACGCTTTGTATGGGGAGAAATTTTGTGCTGTTTCTATGTGAACCTTACTGTTTTCCTCGTACCTGTAACTTGCTCCCTCATCATCCGTTTCACCATCGGACTGACAGTTTAACTTAGAAGGAGAGGGATGTAGGCATGTGGTGACAAAGCTACCCAGAGATGGGGTTCCTCGAGTAAGCTGATGCCAGTTTATTTAGTAAATTCAGCCAGTTCACTTATGGGTATTATTATTGTTGTATCTTCATTAATTTTTTTTNAATCCTTTTCTTTCACAGATATAAAATCTACAAGTCAGAAACATGGTTGTCAAGCTGTTTTTTCCCAGTTGCTGTTCTGAAGCAGACAGTGGCCTGCTGATCGGTCGCTGGATTGAAGAGCAGAATGCTGCAGTTATCCTTGCAGTTATTCACTATCCGTTCATTCCTGGACAAGTGAAGCAGTACCTTAATGAGATTCATGATGCCACGAAGGTGGATGTTTGTGTTCTTGGGTCATGGAATAAGCACAACTCTGGGCCAAAGGAAGACTTGAGCCAGTTTCTGGAGGATCTGAGTTCCATTTTTCCACATGATCTCTGGTTACAGTTAAAACAGGAGAAACAGAATCAGTCTGTCTTCAGCTGTCAGCTGGTTGAAAAAGATGGAAAGGATAAAATAGAAAAAGTTATCTTAATCCATTATGACCAGCGCAAGGTTATGCTTTCAAAGTTGCATGGCCTGGATAGTAAAACCCCACAGGACATCGGTAACACTGAAATGGATTCGAAAAATATTACCTCAGATTTTGCAACAATATTTGATACCGTTTCTCAGTGTGAAATATTATTTATGATTGATCAATATGACGATACTCCAATTAAGTTTACTCACTGGCAAACAGAAGGAAGAGAAGCCAGTATTATTGTGGAACTTGTGAAACAGGCATCAGTACCAATATGCATGGCACTTTCGTTCTTCGTGACCCTTGTTTCGTACATCTGCAAAAGCAGGTAATTGATGTGAGAAAAAAATGCTGAAAACCCTGCTCTGTTGTTACAGCTTGTAGACGGGTTTGTCAAACTAGGTTTTCAGTAGTTCACCCCAAGACATTCCTACATTGATTCCTTGTTGTTCAAGATCCTCTGTTACTCCAAGTGGCAGAAATACAAGATGCTTCCAAGTACAATATTAATGATGCCTTAAAGCTCTTTCTGTTTGTGCTTATTCAACAAAATAGGTGCTTGTGGAGATGTACACCAGCACTTACGGGTGGAAGGGTGGGGGGGATGGGAGGAGGACTTAAATGTCAGGAATACATCATGCTGCTACAAAAAAATTAAAAGTAATTTACTTTTCAAACACTTCTGCTCACCCTTTCCCACTTTCTCTTTATTTTAACTTGTAATTTTTTGTGTGTAACAAATGAAGGCTACTCTAACTTTTGATGCTAAGATGTCTCCTCTTATTACCTTTTATCTTGAAGTTAATTTGCTGTATTTACACAAAGGGTGTGAGATAGATGCTTAAACTATTGTTTTGCTCCCTTTCACAGAGTGTTAAATGTATGGCCTCTACGTTTTTTATGGAGCAAACTATCGACATGTGTGCAGGTTGCACATCGTTTGGAACACTTGCAGATGATCACAAGTACCACAAAAGCACAGACTCACTCAGAGTTTATGAGGTACAGTAAGTCTACTATACTATAATCTTTTTACTAAAAGAAAAAGTTAATGACTGTTTACCTGAACAAACCAGCTGGTTTCTAAAGTAAAAGCATCTGACTAACAGTTTTGGATAAAATAGAACCATGGAAACCATAGAGATTTATAGCACAGAAGGCCATTTGGCCATTGTAGCTGTGCCGATTCTTGTTCACTATCCTTCAGGGGGAACTGTTTCCCTGCAATGTGGTTTGCCAGATAAACTGAATGTGAGACGATACCAATAAAGACGATCCAATAAAATGTCGATTAATTTCTAATTCCTGTTTGATTACCAGAGTATCATAATGATATTTGTCTAAAAAAAGTTTCTATTTTTATCTAGAAAGGCCAACCTCTTTGTCTCATTCCTGATTGATGTGGCCCTAGGAATTCTGCTGATCTCTTGGCTCTATCAGAAGAATCGCATTGGGCAGTTAGCAGGTGCCCTTGTTCCGTTTGCTGATGTAAGGGTACTTTGTTATGCGAGATGTTGTATGTGTAATCATGCTTGTTAAGGACTGACTGTATTATATCCTAAGTACTGTATGCTTTTTAAGGTACTTCAAGACTTCTAAGTGTTCATCCACTAAGAGAAGTGGAAGACACAAATAGGACAATTTAATGTTTCTAAACTATTCTTTTTCTGTGCTAACAGTACATTGCTAAAGAGTTACAGAATCTGTTAGAGTGGTTGATGGGAGCTCCTGCTGGTTTGAAGATGAACAAGGCACTAGACCAAGTACTGGGACGATTCTTCCTCTATCACATCCATCTTTGGATAAGTAAGTCCAATGTAACCCAACATGATGGGTTGTTTAGTACCTTAAGACTACTTGGTGACGCCACACAGATCTCTCTGATACATTGCATGCTGTTTTATTAAATGAGTGTTGCACTTGCAGATTCTCAACAAAGCAATGCTTATTTTATTTTGGGTCAAACCCAAGTTTTGATGTCCACTCAAAAATACTGGAGGCATTACCAGCAAAACTCTGTGTGAATTTAGAAAACTTCTGTCAAGGCTAACTTTGGGCCCCTATCAAAATACTAACCTGATATTTCTTTATTCTGTAGGTTACATTCATCTGATGTCTCCATTCATTGAGATGATCCTGTGGTATGCTGGACTGTCAGCATGCCTGGGTCTGACTATAGCCCTCTCCATTGTTTCAGACATCATTGCCCTCCTGACATTTCACATCTACTGCTTTTATGTTTACGGGGCAAGGTAAGGCTCAAGCATTCACTGAGAATAACGTGTTTCTGGAATAGGTGTCAGCTTGGCTCAGTTGTTAGCATTTTTGCTTATGATTCAGAAGGTTGCGGGTTCAACCCAACTTTGGGACTTTAAGCTCACAGATTCAAGGTTGACATTGCAATGCTGTCCATCAGCTGAAATGTTAAACTGAGATCCCTTCTGTCGTGGATGTCAAATATCTCACGGCACTACTGAAACGGGAGTTTCCAGTTTTTCCGGATTAAAATGTTAAAAGTGTGCTGTTGGGCACTCGCTGCCCACCAGGTGACGCCATATATTTTCAGGCATTCTTGTGGCAACCGAAAGTATCTGCAAACTGCAGTAACAGGCATTTTAATGAATGAAACACACCAGTTTCTGTGGAAACATGTATTGCAATCTACTTAGCTAAAGTTGATAAATTTTGCTTGAAAAATTACAGTAATTTTACATTTGATCTTTCCAGCAAATCTAATTTTCCAGCTCTTCCAATTTTAAAACTAATCTTAAATTGCTTTACTTGCCTTTTTTTTGGGTGGGGGGGAATCCCAACGTAGAAGCATGTTCCATGCATAGAGAGAGAGAGAGAGAGAAACGAGCAGATTATTCTAGCATGCTTGAAATTGGTATTAAAACAGGCATAACATTTGCCAAATAAGTGTATATTCTCATCAGCTGCTTCCAATGTGTGTCAGGGGCCAGACAGGTAAATTCTTCTGTATTGCTGTAGTGGGTAAACAATTGCTTTCAATGGTGTAGTCAGTGTTGTACACAATGAATGTTTTTCTTTGGTAAATAACCTGTTTGTTCATGTAATTACAAGTTCTTTATTACCCATGAAATGTGCCTGAGAAGTATATACATTGATATTGTTATTACTTGTTCAGTGAACAATTTTTTTAAATCTCACACTGTATCAGTTGCGTTGACAAATGTATAAAGACAGCAACAAATATAAAATGAAGACTATTAAATCAGTGTTGGTATAAATCCATTATTCTGACTGTAACATTTTGCTCAACAGCTTTCATGAGCAGAATATTTTCTTAGCAAATGGAGTGTGAAAGAAGCTACATTATTTATTAATGAAGCTTTTTACAGAGTTCAAGCAGAAGATAACTGCATTGATGTACTTGCCCATTGATGTGATTCGTGTAATTTTAAAAACATCTAATGCATGCCCTAAGTGTATTTGAAACACATTTATTTAATCTGGTAATGTTGGAAAAGGAACCCTGTGAAACGTGTCTGCTTTCCAGCGTCAGTTGACTTGAATGTAGTCAGTGTTTTTACAGATCAGTTGGAATCTTTTATCTTTCCGAGTTTAGAAACTAGAATGTGAACCATTAAACACAGGAAAGCCAATCTTTCAGACCATTTAGTTCACCTTATATAGCTCTGTATTGTTGACTCTAGCATTCCTTCTTATCTTAATACCAAGGGTGAAGCATTTTCAGCTGTCTGCCCTTTTATTCCACAAATCTTATCTTTTCGAAATGTCCAACCAAATTTGCATTCACTGCTCTTGGCTACAGTAAAACACCTCATAATTTTAACCAATGCACATAAGTCACCAGGCATTAGCTGTTTAATATGTGCCAACCAAAAATAATCAAAAAGGGAAGCAACGACAACTTCCCTTTGTATAAAAAAGGGGTTACTGATGGTTAGACTCTTCAAAAGTGTTGCCTTGTTAAGACAACTTGTTCATATAATTTAGTGAAAAAGTTCACAAATGAAATTGTTTTTGCTGAGCTTCTATGAATACTAACAGGATTAAAGTGCCAGCTGGCTGTGTTGTCTCTTGAGTCGGCATATGGAGTGTTATACATATTCTAAATCACTGCTTACATCAAGGCTAACCAGGCTTGTTCATACTTGTACAGATATTTCAGATGCAGCATTTGCAGTTTCCACAATGCGGCTTTTTGTACTGCTACCATTGCAGCTACAAATTAGCGCTCAGATTAGTCATTATGTCGTATGCATGCATTACAATCTTTGCAGCTTTTGTTTTCACTATTAACATTTCTTTTCAAAGCCATCTTTGTTTACTACTGGCCTGACCTGCAAAGCTTACTCTAAGAGCCATTGTCATTTTGCAACCCTTACGTACCAATAGTCAGTGTTTTTATTTCTTCAACAAAAGTATTTTGGAGTCAGCTATTTCTAGGAAGAAAACATTCATCATGTGCACCTCTCTAGTAGTACAAAGTGACACTGTTTAACATCTGTTGCAGTGTGGTAAATCTTGTGTGTACTGAATATTGAATTTTTATTTGTCACTTTATATCCTCTTTTTCCCACCATGTTGCAATTGTTTTACAAATCTGGAATTGCAGTCAAAGCCACTAATGGATCTCAATATTAAGCATGTGAAAGCATAGACAGATTGACAAAATGGGTCGGTAAACAAACAAGTTAGTTTAACTGAAGGTTTCAAAATCACTCGGCTTTGGCCTTTTTTTCCCAAAATATTAAAGATTTGTGAACGTTTTTATTACAGTTTTAGGTCTTAAGTTCTGTGCAGTCTCTATAGTATAAAATCAGATCTCATGGGAATTTCTTCCCATAAGATCACACGACTGGGGTTTCACATGGAGAAGATCCTTTGGCTCATTTGATCTTATCCTTCCAGACATATACTCACCCTGACATCCTCCTGTTCTATTTAGTATTAAACTGTTTCTTAAATGTATTCAGCATCCTGGCTTCAAGCATTGTTCTGGCTAACTTGTTCTAATCATTAATTACTCTCTGGTAAAGAAATCGTTCTGGTGTCCATCCTAAAATTATCCTGAATATATACCTTTTGACATATCTGAAATAAAAAAATTGTAAAACTGTTGTATTTAGTACATTGAGCGTTTAACGAACTCCTCAGGATAGTTGTTATCTTTTGCACTAAGCTTATAGTTGTTGTACGATAACATTTTTAATGGATTGCTTCTTGCACAGACTGTACTGTTTCAAGATCTATGGGTTGTCATCTCTGTGGCGGTTATTCAGAGGAAAGAAGTGGAATGTTCTGAGGCAACGTGTTGACTCCTGCTCATATGACTTGGATCAGGTAGGTGTTTAAGGTGAAGATTTGGTTCTGACTTTCTATTCAAAATACTTACAGACTACTCCTTTTTTACAAGTTATTATGTTACTAATCTACTGTTTAATCTTTGTTTAATGTGTGTTTCATATTATTGTGATCATTTCTGTTTGGGAAGTCAAGCTTCCCTTTGTGGTTACTGTTCTTCAAATCCTATGCCAAGTGGACAATATAGGGATATCTTTGCTTTACAAAAAGGTATAAGCACATTGTTTACAAAGAACTGCGTATAGCTTTGTTTGTAGGTTTTTGAGGATGTATCTTTTATTTGCACCTTTTGTTCAATTACATCTCTTGTTCAATGGCATCTCTGCATTTTGCATTTTAGTTATTCAGACGTGAAACTCACTTACTCCATGAAAGCCGTAACATTGTGCAATTATTCAGTTAGGATGTAGAATTCTGTGGTAATCGACTGCAGTTCATTGAGGTTTAAGCCTGCAACAATTGAATTACACACTATCATTGTTGAGCATCATAAATATCAAGGTCATGCAGTGGATTGACTGCTAGTGCCACAACACTGATATTTGACCAAAATGAAAGACTCCAAGCATACATATTTTGAATTAGACAATGTAAATTTTGATGTAACAATGGCACCTTCTGTTTTTTGCTTGCAGTTGTTTATTGGAACCCTGCTGTTTACCATTCTCCTCTTCCTCTTGCCAACTACAGCACTCTACTACCTGGTGTTTACATTGGTAATGGCTGCATTTTCACTTTAGCAATTGTCAATCAACGTGAAACACTAGTAAACAATCAATGACTTCATTTTCTTGAGTTCTGATACGCACTGGGGCTTACAAGCCATTGTAATTCATGGGTTGCCGTGTATATCTTCAGGTTAAAGCAAATGGTTTGAAATGGCATGGTATTATTACTGAATTTCTATTAAAATTTACATTTGTGATACAGGTATTTCTTTAATAGTAAAACATATAATAACCCTTGCATTTGAAAAGCGCTATATCAAATGCAAGGATTATTATTATTATTATTATAGTGCCTTATCACATCTTCGAAACATTTCAAAGGGTTTCACAGAGGATACTGTAAAGTGAATTGACTGTATTACTTTGTGGGTGTAACACGGCAGCCAATTGCTAAATAGTCACAGTTTAGTAATGTAAATTGTTTTAACATTAGTTTGCTGTACCTACCAGTACACTCACATTTAAATTTTTGGTCCTTCCAACAGCTACGTCTGGTTGTGGTTATCGTGCAAGGTCTCATTCATTTGTTTGTGGACCTCATAAACTCTCTCCCGTTCTATGCATTAGGACTTCGACTGTGCCGACCTTACGTTCTTGCAGGTGATGATCTAACAGCTAAGTTCATTTGGGTGATTCTTAAAACTGTAATTGTTGCTTGTTTGTATGTTCTGGATGTTTGTATAAAGAACCAACTACCTTTGTTGCAAACAGAGGTTCATTGGCACTTCTATTTAAGCTTCTCAATTTTTCCAGTTCTCTATAGAATTCCCATAGATTTACATAGAATACAGCACAAGAACATTCCATTTGGCCCAATCAGTCCATGTCATTTATACGCCACAGACTGATTAACTACATGTGACTTATTTAAAGTCTCTTTTTTTAGCTCATAAAAAGTTGCTGTCTTTTAATCACGTATTTTGCTTCTACTGATAAGGTGCCAAATTTAAAAATTGTCTTTTTAGATTTACCGAGTGATAACATGAAAAGGATGTAATTGCCTTTTCAGAAGCTAGTTATGTTGCTTATAATTTAGGTAAATGTCTAGAAAAGGGTAATTTTCCAAAAAGTGGGTAAATTTGGAAATTGGTGGATGTTCCTACCTGCCAAGGTCTAAATTTATCCACATTTGGAGAATCACTTTTATAATAATGTCCTTGCAAAAACATGTTCAGAAATTTGACCTCCATGTGGTTTGTGGTGTGTTTTTGATGGATGTGGTTTGTGTTTGATCCGCAGTTGGTGTGAAGTTTGACGTTTTTCAGAAAGTCTCTGACAAACCTCTTCACTTGTTAATGCAGGTACAATCGTTAATGTTTTCTCTATCACTTGACTGTAAACATTGCAGCAGCATTTTTATTTAAAAAGTTGAATTGCATAAATATTGGTTATTTGAAACAATCTGTTTGGTTCCTCTTTTGGGGGGTTGGGATTTCAAATGAAAACATTTTGGAAGTATAAACGAGAACATACGAATAGTTTGAACGTGGTGAAGAACGTTAGGTACAGATCAGCAGTGACCATGAGGTCCAGGGTAGAGAACGAGAGGTCGGGTGCCGTCTGCATGCATGTGAAGTGGAGCCCATGCTTCCAGACACTATCCCTGTGAGGGAGCACGTAGCCAAGAGAGAGGAGATCAAAGATAGAGCCCCAAAGAACACCATAAATGATCATACAGGACAGGAGAAAAAAACATTAGAGAGACAGTGAGAACATTAGGACAAGTAAGACGGAAACCAAGACAGTAGATAGTAAGAAAATAATAATTTCTCCTAATAATGGTGGTATTTTCTTGATAACAGATCAATCCATTGACCTACGGGATGATAATCCAGCATTACAGATTGGCAACCTACAGCTGTTATCCCAAAGATTCCTGGGCGGCACTTTGTAAGAAACTTTTCATTGGGGAACTGATTTATCCTTGGAGGCACAAAACTGAGAAACAAGACTGAGGAAACCTAACATGAGAACAGCAGTCTGAGCAAGTGCACTTGTCTAATGTTATGTATATCTTTTATTTCATTTTAGGATGAAGATTTTAAACCAGTTAAGGCAAGTTAACTGCAGTAAATCTTTTTTAAATTGACGCAATCAAAATACAAATGATTTTTAAAAGAAAATTATAACCATTTAAAATGAGATATTTCAATATTGCCAAACTTTTTTTTTCTCCCTGACATATTGCAACCAAGTAAACAGTGCACTGAGAAAAATTAAAATACTCCTAACTATTAAAGTATTCGTGTTTAAGAAGCACAATATATTTGTTAACCCTCTCTAATATAGTGAAGCACTTTACCATCCATTGGGTGTGAGATTTAACCATTAATCTAAGAGTAGGTCCAGGGAAATACCACTCTTCCTGAAGCAGCCAGTTACTTTACATATTAGTTCAACCACCAATGACCCTACAACTGATATTATAACCATAATAGTTACTTAGAAATTGAGAGTATCTTTTCTTTGTAATGATGACAGATATCCAGTAGTTTAAATCAATTTTAAATAATATTTCATAATAATATTTAAGAATTTTTTAGTCCAATCTATCTATCTCAATTCTTTTTCTAATAACCTAAACCTTTAATATTTGTTTGGATTCTATTTTCTCTTAGTTTTCCCTCATCCATTTTGGAGGAAGTAGTAATTTGTTTTTAAAATGTGGTTAAATCTTTGGTTTCAGATTTTTTTTTTTTTTTTTTTTGGAAAAGCTGTTTTCCAGTTAACAAAAACTTAAAAAGGTCAGGATTGACGTGGTCAAATCCCAAACTAACTTTAGGTTTGTTAAAACTTGTCAGATTAGGAAGAGAGACTGCCATATATATACTGGACATCAGACGACAGAGGCCCACGATGATCAGATGATTACGTCGTGTGTGTGTGTGTAAGGGGTGTATTTACCTCAAGTATATATTTTGATTTGCTACAAATATGAAAGTTGCAATTTTTTGGGTTACAAGTGTTTTAGAAAAGGCTACTTTTTTATATATATTATATATATATACTTTAAAACTAAGAGTTTCCTTTTTGTATTTCTTTGTATATTGGTACATTTGATAGTAATTTTTAAACAAACAAATCCAGACACATTCCAGGCTGTGGTGTCATGAAGGTGAGCAATCTACCAGCAGTGTCTCCCCGAACTGAGGTTTAGTTCCTGTTAAACCGATCTATTTCTCTAAATCCAAATGGACTCAATTCTCAGATTAATTTTAGAAAACGTATGAAGGGAATTCTTTGCCGTGTGTTTAAAAATAATTCAAATAACTTACGCACGGATGTTCAGAGTTGATGTTATCATTTTGTCATGTAACGTTTCAGCTTGTACTGTTTCTGCGTACTCTGGAAAGGATGCCCTCTGTGATGTGCGCTCCGAAGCTATGGTGTAAGTTAGTTCTTTTGGTTGGCGAGACTATTATAGTTGGAGCGTGGAGTACTTTAATGACACTCTTACGTGCTCCCGACATGAAAGGCGCCACACAAATGTAATTTTGTTGTTTAATGTTGTGATTGTCACGCATCAGCGAGATTATCCTACTTTGCACGAAGGAGAAACATTGTGAGGTATCTCCTGGCACCGAAAAAAATGCACTGTTACCAGCTGGATGCGCACGTTGTTCAGAACATTTGGCAGATTGTCTGAAATCTGTTCTAAATTGGGATAGTTCCCTTTTTGTATTGGGCATACAACAATTATGATCACGAAGCGTTCATTATCATATGTTCCATGACTGTTTCAAGTTATGTTTTTCATGCACTCCCTCTAATATTGTTACTTTTAGGATTCATTCTGAAGAGCCAATGTGACACTATTTGAACATTAACTAGTTGGTCTGATGAATAAAATTTCTGCTGGTGCCATTTTGTGTATTTTGATTGTTTTTGCAAGAACAATTCATGAATTTACATAATTATGTTCAGTAATATGCAGGGAATAAACTGTGTTGAGACTATAACCCAGTGGAGCAACTTCGACATTGTTATAGATTATAAGTGAATCCTAAGTATGCTGATCAACACAATATAAAATGGTAGCCTTAAAATCTTTGTTAGCTGTTTGATTTGAATAGGAGGCAATTTTGCCGTGCCACCCAGAGGTGATTTCGACATGGGTGGAATTTTGGGTGTTAAACTGCTTACAAGTATTGCGAAATTTCTGTGAGTTGCATTGTAAAGTTCTATTGATTTTAGATAATGTGTGAGTCATTGATAATGTGAAAAGTGTTAAACTTCAAGCATGAACTTGCTTTGTGCTGCACAGTGTCGGTTTTCCTATATACCTGTGCTGAACCACGCCACCCAAATCCTAACCTTCTCGGTAATTAAATTAGCAGCGTTTCAAAGAAATGTATTGTTTGCAGTTAAAATGTAATCCTTTTATTTTTAATCCCAAAGGCACCATCTCTAAAAGTCAACATTTTCAGGGGCATGACGGGCAAGCTCAAAGTGTGCATAATGGTTAAGCATGTAGTTAATCAAGTGTTGTCGCTTCCCACTGAGCAATTAATAGCTTGACTATATCACCAGGAATTGAATGTGGCACTGTACTTTAAAGGACCAAATTGAAAGGCACTCAAGGCCAGAAGTACCATTGGAAGTTATTTTTGTTCATTCCACCATTCTACTGTGATCTAACCCCCGGATAGTATTTGATTTTTTTTGTCCAAAAGCCGCACTCCCATGGGGGTGTGGCACGATGCCTGTGTGAACCTGATTTGAGATTCTATCAGGAGGATTAAAGCTCAATGTTGTTGTGTACTCGAACTGAAAATAAATACTTTCTCTCTGGTGGCTTTGCCACAATGACTTGCAGTAAATGGAAAGCTGCCTTTATTCTTAACCAACACCCCTGAGGGAGCAGTTGCACTGCCCCATCCTGAAACCAGCAGCCAGATGGCTATCTCTCAGGAGAGTCACTTGCAGGCCTCTTAACAGCAAATCTGAGTGTGCCAGCACAAACCGCTCGGTTCCTATTAGCATTTTAATCTATTCGTTATTTCACACAGAATGCCCTGTAGTCCCCCTTTCAAAATGAGATCTTATGGCAACAGAAAGATAATTATGTTTTGAATCGAAGGCTTTGTTTCAAAAGGATGGGAATACAGCTTTATACTTTTACAACCTAGATTTATATCACCGTTACTTTTTTAAAAAAATAATATATGTACTTGTACCAAATATAGTAATTAAATTATACCAATCTACTAAGAAATGGACCGTGGAGTTTTTCTTTTTGCTTGCCAAAAATAGAACTATCAGCAAAAAAGCACCTCAAGATTTGTTATTCAAATGTTATTGGGGTTGTTACTGTACTATTGTAATGTTACTCCATGTGTTAAACCTAATATTATTCAGACTCTATAATCTGGCAGTGTCTTGAATAAAACATAGAATGTTCAATGTGGATTCACGCAAATGTTCAGTTTCATATGAGCCTCATGGTGGCTCACCTCAGCATCCAACTTGTCTTAGTAGTCTTCTGCTTATACAGCAGTTATTCCGTGTCAGTGCATGTTGTTAAGTTCTTCAAACCCAAACATATCTTCACTCAGTGTTCACAATGCATGTATTGTCCAGGAGGATCAGGAATCCTGGCTGGTTTTCCTCTCACAATAATAATAATAATAATAATCCTTGCATTTGATATAGTACTTTTCACGTCGGGAGGACGTCCCAAAGCGCTTCACAGAACACACTGTAAAGTGAATTGACTGTATATTTGTGGGCGAACGTGGCAGCCAATTGCGCACAGCAATGTCCCACAAACAGTTGTAGACTGAAAATGACCAATTTATTATTGTTTTTGTTTTGGAGGGATTATTATTAGGCTCTGTGTGGAGTAAGGAAACTTGTCCAAGGTTTCGCCCTCTGCCTGGAATTGAACTCAGGTCTCTCACTTGCAAAGCGAGTGCTCTAACCACTGAGCTACAGGACTCCAGATCTTTGGTTTGGAGAGAGAACGAAGAGTCAAGCATGTATCAGAAACTGGGTGAATAATTACACCATTACCATAACCATAATCAAACAAATATCTTTTCTCCAACTTGGAAAGTGACGATGAGCTAGATTTATTTTGTAGCCCCTCAAAGCAGTGGTATTTGACTAGCGATGTGTTGTTGCCATGTGAGAAGCGGAAAAAGGTACACATCAACTTCAGTCAGTTTCCAAACTTCCGGACCAAACTGTCAAGACATTTTTACTGGTTCAACTTACAACTTCAAGTGTGTCCCTTCCAATCAGCAGGAACCTTTTGCAACGAGATTACATGTGGAGTGTGACGTGGTCAACAGTATAATAATTGTTTCAAATGCAGAATCATGATAATTCTAACTTTTTTATCAATTGCAAGTTCACTTCTACACCGACTTCATAAATGATTAAACAAAAATGCCAAAATCCATGCATATTGTATGGATACTCGGGCTGAGATTCCGTGCCTCGAATAACAATCTAAAGACCCCTGAGGCTGGATTTTAAACTCTTGAGTCAGTCATGATTTATCTTTAAATTTACATCTAACAATCAAAATATGATTGTTATGCAAATACAGAAAAGAAACTTATCGTACTGACCAGATGTTATTACTAGTGTTCAAGGTGAAGAAGTCCTTTTGCGAATGGTTTAGTGAGCCACTTATTTACTTTCATTATTCTGTAATGGGCCGAGGACCACTGTCTGGATACAGAGATAAACGTGATGCAAAATAAACAAACCTATTGTGATAGTTACAGTATCTGGTATAGATGCTGATCTAAACCCCACTAGCAAAAGAAATTAATCCCCAATTGTGTCAGTTCAAAGGCACTGTTATCCCGCAGAGAGAGCAAGTGGTAGTGTGATTATAATCATGTTATCTAAGCTGTTACCATAGCAATGTCTTCAGATAAGTAATCAAGGGCGAGCCCAGTGTAATTTTGACTATGAAGGGTGGGTTTTTGATTATGTGTAAAATACTCCAGTGGATTTGCATTTGTGTTAATACTTTTGATACTCTCCATTATAGCTCTTTTTGCAAACAAGTATTTCTGGTAATTTTAATAAAACATTTGTCGTTATCTACGAGAGAACAGACCACAAAAGGGGTGATACCTTCTCAAATGCAGCCTATGCCTCCTACTTTTACTGCCAAGGATAAAGAGACTCAAGCCAGTCTCATAAGTTGGGGACATTTCTGGCAAGAATATACATCCCTTATTGTGTCGAAATTTACTGCGACTCTTCTTTTCAAAACACATGGATGAACCAGACTGTGGGATAAATGTGCCAGTCTGGAAAGGTGATATATAGCCATGTTTGGGAATAAGCAAAACACCACGTGGCTCACCCACACGGTAGCAACCTTTACTGCCAACACCCCACCCCTCCCCTCCACCCACCTCTCCCATTTGGATCTGCAGGTTGAGGCAGGGAGCCAAGTAAACAGGAAGTCTGGAGTCTGGTGGTGCTTTTTGGACAGTTCTACCTGCCTGACCGAAGCAATTAGAATCCCACACACAAAAATCCAAAGACAAATGAGTGTCCTATGAAAGTCCATAAAAATTCAATCTGATTTTGTTCCATTCTTACAACAGATCCAAGTTATTTTTCTTCTGGGTCTCCATCGTGAAAACAAATGTTTGGTTTAACATCGAGGTAATGTGACCACACGAGTAACACGACAGTTTGCAATGAACAACAACAAATACGACATCACAGCGAATGAACGATGTTAGAAACACCCAAGAACATTCTGATAACCCGGAATGTACTGAAAGTCGGGATGTACAGCTTGATGATTAAAGGATACTAAACCTTTCTAATTATACTGTATAATCTTCAGCTTTGTAAATTTTGAAAAATCTTTGTGTAAATTACACAGTAATGAAATTCAATAGACACATTTATCAGCATGTCTTGTTGAACATGTTACCTCCTTCAGAGATAATTATTAACAGAATTTCCACAATAGAGCATCTGTGTGAGCATTTCATCTCCTTGTCATTGATCCAACAACTGTGCCTCCACTTAATGCCAGGTTTGTGACCTCTGTTCTTCAATACATTTAATTGTCACAGTGGGAGAAAAATCAGATGCAAGCATTAATTCACTGTGTGTCTTCCTGTTCATTTCTACTTTAAAGTAAATGTGCGACTTGGGCATTCTGTAACTCAATAATTATGGATAATTTAGTTATCTGCTTTGCAGCTTCAAATATGTGTTGATCCAATTACACTGAGATGTTCGATTATACTCTAACGTTTTCCAATTGATCCACAAAAATTAAAATTCCTGTTTCTGCCAATAAATTGAACACAACGTGCAGAGATAGACACCCTCGCAGTTAGTGTAAGATTATTTCCTGCCTTTCATCAAAATAAGCTGAACTATGTAGTTTTAAGAAATCTCCCACAAATCATCACCAAATGTTTGGCTGATATACTTTATCTTTGTATAAGAGCCAAAACACGTATTTCCAGATAACGGATCCCTCCTTTGTGGCAAAAAGAAACCGTTTGTAATGTTTGGAAGGTAGATCTGCCCCCCGCAGGCTTACAAATACACAGTCACTACACTTCACAGTAAAATCCTGGAAATGCTTTGAGATGTCTCGAGGACACGACAAGCTGCTCTATCAAATGCAACGATTACTATTAGTTATTAAGCCAAATAAGGAACTACCCTTTGGTAAAATTCCAGGAAGATGTTGCGGTTCTTCTGCAAAAAAGGCACAATGCAGATATTGTGCAGAAATTTAAGAAAACATCAAAACTAATCAGCCGGAATTTCAGAATTTGGTTTCAAACCGTAAAGAAAAGAACCAACCGTAATGAACACAACAGTTTCCTTTGTGGGCAACAGTACGTCAAGACATTTAATAACTGCCTGTCACAAATTCTGTATAACAGACGGAAATGTTACACAAGTCCATTGAAAGAGTTCAAAATTCATATGTAAGAGATAGATTTACTAACGTAACAAGCGCCAATGTGTTACAAAGACGACAAGGTGCAAACTAGGTCCCTCTTTTCACAGGGGGTAGGTAAGCGTGACAAGTTAAATTCACATCCGCGGGAGTTTTATGTTGTCACGTATCGACATTAGAACATGTGTGTACACTCAATCGAGGGACATTTGTGGAGTCCTGTAGCTCAGTGGTTAGAGCACTCGCTTTGCAAGTGAGAGACCTGAGTTTAATTCCAGGCAGAGGGCGAAACCTTGGGCAAGTTTCCTTACTCCACACAGAGCCTAATAATAATCCCTCCAAAACCAAAAACAATAATAAATTGGTCATTTTCAATCTACGACTGTTTGTGGGACATTGCTGTGCGCAATTGGCTGCCGCGTTCGCCCACAAATATACAGTCAATTCACTTTACAGTGTGTTCTGTGAAGCACTTTGGGACGTCCTCCCGACGTGAAAAGCGCTATATCAAATGCAAGGATTATTATTATTATTATTATTATTTAGTGACAGTTGAGCATGACAAAAAAAAATGCTGTGACTAACGCTCCACTTTTAAGAGATATGAGCCGCAAATAATAAATCAGAGTAACCTTTAGCCCTTCATGTCATACGGCCAAAAGTGAGTCTGTCTGTACGTGGGAATAATGCAGCGGTTGCCTGGGTAACAATTCTGGAGGTGTAAAAACAGAAACAAACACTCACTAATGGTCCTGTTAATTAAAATACCACTCTATGAAGCAATAAGATGCAAATCTGCATGAGAATTCAATAACCTCAGTGGTCGACCTTTTATATTACGAATTACAAAAGAACCAAAAATATTTTTATTTACCCCGCGTCACTTTCTGCTGGATTCCATCATAAGTAGGTACCATATTATTGGAGTACACTGTGGACTTAAGAACAGTTCAAAAGAAAGACAGTCACAAAGGCCACATTAATTGGATGAAATTGCATTCGGAGCCAGAATCGTTCATTTAAATTGAATCTAAAATAAAATGTATCTTGCAGAGTGAACAGAGAGAGACAGGTTGATTGATTCGTTTATTTTCTATGGGGTTGAGTGAAATCAATAGGAGATACAGCCCTGCGAGAAGCTCTGGAAGCATGTTGATCACAGTAATCTAGAAACACTTTGAAATGTTTCAACCTATTATAGGCAGTAAATGCAAGTTAAATTAGTATTTAAGTCTAGCGAGGGGAACAAACAGTACATGAAAAATTACAAAGGTGCATTTTTGCTGCTACAATGCTGTTGACTACTGAATATAAATACTGCAAGTCGGCGTCACAGAGGTATCTCAAAAACGTGAAAAATCACGCCATTTAAAATTTAGTGAACGTTAGAATATTTCAGGAAAACGCGAGAGAAAGTATTTTATCTGTTGAAATAGTGCCATTGGAACCTGACAAGATCCACTTTTCTCACCCGCGTTCAGACATCAGAGGCGCTATACGAATGCAATTTGTTGGTAGTTGTTTGTACTGCATCCCTCCAAAACCCCTCTCCCATACCCCTTCCTCCCATTAGTTTTCCTATTAAATATGTCTTATTTTATAATAATACAATAATATGCCTTTCCTGAGTAATTACATATCTTCACCTATACTTTTTTGCCAGTTTCTCGGCTCGGTTAGGGGGTTCAAGACCCACTTCAGGACTTCGAGCGAGCTAACACTTCAGTACAATATTGGGGATAGATAATTTTGGGGGGTGGGGAGGGGGGGAGGACAAGTTTGCAGGTCTATGGGGAAGAGAGCGCGGGGGCGTGGGATTGATTTGGAAGCTCTGTTCAAAGAGCTCGCGCAGACACGATGGGCCGAATGGCCTCCTTCTATGATCCATCCGCTCCTTGTTGAGATCTGGTAACTCAATCCACGACAGTTTGTGTGGGACGTCGCTGTGCGCCATCGGCTGCCGCACTTCGCCCACAAAATACCACAGTCACTCCACTTTAATAATAATAATAATAATCCTTGCATTTGATATAGCGCTGTTCACGTCGGGAGGACGTCCCAAAGCGCTTCACAGAACACACTGTAAAGTGAATTGACTGTATATTTGTGGGCGAACGCGGCAGCCAATTGCGCACAGCAATGTCCCACAAACAGTCGTGGATTGAAAATGACCAATTTATTATTGTTTTGGGTTTTGGAGGGAATATTTGTACTATACACTATATTGTATACTATATTGTACTTCACACTATATTGTGCAAAGCGCTTGGAGGCGCGAGATCAAATGATATCAAAAACCCTGCCCCCCCCCCCCCTGGCCGCCCCCCCCGCACCCTGGCCGCCCCCCCCCCTGGCCGCCCCCCCCCCCACCCTGGCCGCCCCCTCCCCCCCCCACCCTGGCCGCCCCCCCCACCTCTGATCGTTCAGCGCCTTTGGGGAAGGTCCTCCCGACCCGTTCCTGTTGTTGTGCGTAAAGGACAACACATCCCGTCAGGGCCTGTTGCCCGGCAACGGGTGGGTCGGCGCCGCATGCGCACACGCCTCGCCGTCGGGGGGGGGGGGGGGGGCGGGGAATGGGGAGGAGTCGCTGAGTGGCTGACGTCGCGCACGCGCAGTTAAAGGGCAGGGCTGCCTTACAAAGACGCGCGCGCGCGAGGAGAGGGGGGGTGTATGTAGCGCCTGCGCAGTAGAGGACGGGTTTCCTCGCGCGGGCGCGGGCGCGCACGCGCGGGAGAGGAGAAGGAGGGGGCGGGGGTTGTGGTCGGCTGGAGGAAGTCGCGCGTGCGCAGTAGAGGACGCGCGAGCGGGGAGGGGAGGGGGGGGTTGTTGTCGTCCGCCGCTGCGAGTCGCGCAGGCGCAGTGACTGACGCACGGAGCGTCCCTCCCCGGGACGAGGAGCGCATGCGCGACATGACCCCGCCGCGGCGACGGCGAAGACGACGGAAAAAAAAAGGAGTGCGAGTGGAGTGAGTGAGTGAGTGTGAGAGGGCGACAGAGAGAGAGAGAGAGAGAGAGAAGCGGAGGGAGTGAGTGAAGGAAAGGAAAGGGCCTGTGATTCCGGAGCCTTCAGTTGGCGGCAGCGGCAGAGTTCGACGTCCGTTGTTATTATTCCTGAGGAGATTTTGTTTTCTTTCCCGCTTTCCGCCCCCCACCCCCCCACCCCACCACCCGGGCCTCGGGCTCTCCCCCGCGCTCCCCCCGGGCTCTCCCCCACCACCACCACCACCACCTTCCTCCCCCCCCCCCCTCCCTAACTTCTCCCCCTCCCCCACCGCCGCCGCTGTCCGCCCGCCCGCCCGCCCGCCCGCCCTGTCGACCGTGAGATGAGTCAAAAAACCGGGCGTCTCACGGAGGATGACCACAACGGGCCAGGGCAGCCCGGTGAAAACCTACGATTACCTGCTGAAGTTCCTGCTGGTGGGAGACAGTGATGTGGGCAAAGGAGAGATCCTGGAGAGCCTTCAGGATGGAGCCAGCGAGTCCCCCTACGCCTACAGCAACGGTAATAATTCGTGGCGATCCCCCCCCCCCCCCCCACCCCCCTCCACCGGGCATTGCACACCAGACACATCGCGGTCTTCCTGACGCCTCAAAGCGCTTTCCTTCACGGGGCGTGTTATTAATAATCACAATCCACATCATAATTCATAACAGCGATGGTAGTAATAATCCTCGCATTTGATTTATTGTTGTTATTTGTTGTTGTTCGTACGGCGCCTGGTCGGGGTCTTCCCGACGTCTCAAAGCGCTCCGTAGGATGTGATAATAATCCTTGCATTTGATTTATTATTATTATTGTTATTATTATTATACAGTGCCTTATCGCGGCCTTCCGGGCGCCTCAAAGCGCTCCCTTCCGCGGGATATAATAATAATAATTGATAATAAGCCTTGCATTTCACACTGCGCCTTGTCGCGTCATCCAGACGTCTCAAAGCGGTCCTCATGATGTAATAATCATAATAATAATCATCCTTGCATTTGATATAGAGCCACAAAGTGTCTTCCAAAGCACTTCCTTCACAGGATATAATACTAATAATTAATAATAATCCTTGCATTTGATACAGAGCTTCGTCAAGTTTTCCAGATGTCTCAAAGCGCTTCCTTCATGCGATATAATTGTAATATTAATAATAATAGTCCTTGCATTTGATACAGTCTCATCGCGTTTTCCAGATGTCTCAGTTTATAGCTTACAGCTCCTCAGCTTACACTGCAAACTGAATTGACTGTATCAGTATTTTGTGGGAGAAACACGGCAGCCAGTTGCGCCGGAGCAGCATCCCACAAACAGTCGTGAGAATATATAATAATAATAATCCTTGCATTTGATATAGCACTTTCCACATCTTTTCGAAGACTCAAAGCGCTTCACAGAATATACTGTAAAGTGAATTGACTGTATATTTGTGGGCGAAATGCGGCAGCCAATTGCGCACAGCAATGTCCTACAAACAGTCGTGGATTGAAAATGACCAATTTGTTATTGTTTTTTTTGGAGGGATTATTATTAGACTCTGTGTGGAGTAAGGAAACTTGCCCGAGGTTTCGCCCTCTGCCTGGAATTGAACCCAGGTGTCTCGCTTGCAAAGCGAGTGCTCTAACCACTGAGCTACAGGACTCCACTTCAGTTATACTGTAACGAGGCTGTTCTGCTGTTTAATAATAATATTAGTAATAATAATCCCTTGCACTTGATAGAGTGCCTCATCACGTCTTTGAGACGTCTCAAAGCTATTCCTTCACAGGATATTCTGTCTCCAAGTGTAGTGACTACTTTGTTGGCAGTAATGGGGGATCCAAGCCTCATCATCATCGTAGCAGCACTGATTATAGTTGGCTCTACTTTACAGGCAGCTTCAGCTCCAATTTTGTATAATAATTTTATTTTGTGTTTGTGTGTGGGGTGGTGGGGGGAAGTCGAATAGTTACCTCTAACTACTAAATAACTCCTGATGATAATAATAATCCTAACATTTGATTATAGTGCCTTATCACTTCTTCGAGGCAATAACAACCATATAACGCCCTCCACGCAGGATAACGTCTCAAAGCGACACACACACAAAAACAAGGATCCAGTATCGTGTTGGCTAGATTTTGTTGTGATGGAAACTGTATTCGTGTGCAAATGTTTATTACCTTTGCATTCTTTTAATATTTATTGCGATCATTAGTTCTGTGGTCAGTTCTTGCCTTCCTGATTTTGAATGTCACTGCCGTGAATTCTTGCAATTTAGGTGGAATTCTGAATCGCTACTTCACAGTATCCTGAAATGTTTTTAAACTCTAACTCATAACATTTAACCTTTGTTTTGAAATGTAGGTTTCAAGAGTCATAGTGAAGCCAGGGTTGATGAACATCATATTTACTTGTGTGGCGTCTATATCCCTCGTGGTTTTACTCTGCATCGGGGGAATATAATATTTGAAATTGAAATTTATGATCAATTTTATAAATTCTTAATATTCCTATTCATTTTAACTTTTTTGGAAAATACCAGCAATGGAACAACTTTGAAGAATGTGGGCAAGGAATTCCCTATGTGGGGTTTACCAAAACTTTGTGAGAAGGTTGGAAAGTATGTACTAATGTTGGAGGGACAGATAATGTCTTCCTTCTCGTCTCAGAATGTTTTGCTTATCACTGAAAGGCAGCGTATTTTACTGAATCATGAGAAGTAAACAAAATTGCAAAATGCACTCACCGGTAGCACATAAAACTTATGACTATCATAAACGCAGGTCCAAGGCAGCTAGTATATTGTGTACAGCAGATGCTTTGATGCACACTTAGTTGATACAGAAACTTGGGGAGTTAGTAGATCCTAGTAGGTGTGTGCTCTCCTCCACTGGTCCAAAGCAAGCAACGTTTTGTTTTGATTTAGGTTCTAAGCATCATGTTCGCAGCTGCTCAAAAGAACAGAGATTCTCACAAGCTAATTACTTTATGTAATGAATATTTATGGTCTAAAGGAAGTCATTCAGCACACTCTTAGTTAAAGTCTATTATTGTATTTGCTTGCAGACTAAATTATTTAACATTTTGTAAAATGTCCTATTTGGTAATTGAACCAGATTGAATTGGAGGTGCGAGGGAGGAATTATTTTTTGTCGATGCAATATGTGTACTGAATCTTGTACTTAATAGTTTAACATTTTTGTCAAACCTCCCTGACTGATACTCCACTTGGTCTAAATTGCACATGAATGAGAGCCTATGAGGCATTGTAGAAAGGGAAAACCACTTTATTTTTTTCTTAATTTTCTTATTTCTGAAACTCCATCCTGACTTACACTTGCGATTGATATGGATGTAGCTATTAAATATAATGCCAACATTTAAGTTGATATTACAAACTGCACTGCATACATTAAAGAAAACATGAGGAGCATCCTATCAATCAGTTATAATGGAGACTGTTTTCTGCAAGCAATTCATTTGTGCACATCCTCATCCAGATGGGAGGGCAAGATGGTCAGCACCACGGATATTTTCCATGTCCTTGGTAAGCAGGAAGTGTTGAGTAGGGTGTTAGACTATTTTGAATTTAACAGCCAGGTCAGAAATGAATAGCCAAACCAGTTTAGGTAAATTAATTCAAGTAAATGGCAGCAGTGGCACTCAGACTTGGAATCGTAAGATTGAGAGTTAAGCGACCTTGAGACAGACAATTGCGATTTGAAAATAGAAGTTTATTTCGTTTTTATTATTGTTTACGCAGCAGTTTTATAGGGCAATGCATCAATCAATATCCCTGGTAAATCGAGAGATTTAGTTTTTTTCAAAAGTGATTTTACAGGGGAGGGAATACAGATGTAAACTAGGGCAGGAGAAGAAATAGAAGGAATTGGTGGTGTTTGATAGCACTCATCACATGAAGATGACAATTTATTTTAAATACTCCAGTTTTAAAACTAATGCCTTTTCAAAGCAGACCATTTTAAGCTAATGAATACAAGAAAACATTTGTTGTTCAGTATTGTCATCCTTCTACACACTAATATTTACAAATGTTAAAAGAAATCGATATTCTGCCAAAGGCATGCGCCACTCATCTGTTTGAATTACAATACAAGCTCTTGAAATTTCACAAGCCATGCAATACCCTACAGATTGAAATAATGCAAGGTTTCTACACAACGAGCATGACTGAAAATGGGGTAATAGTGGAATAAATGTGACGCAACTGTGATTTGAGAATTTACAAAACCATGAAAGATGTGTATTCCAGATGCTCCTGTTATGTATACATCTTTAGTAGGGTTGCTAACTACCAAGTCTCTTTTATTTTGCGGCTTATGTTTTGTGAAGGGTTAACCAGATCCCAAAGCGGTGAAAGGCTTCAATCTGCCAGATGAGACATTTGTCACACTCCTTTGGAGTCTTAAGCCATCATACTTTTACAAAGCCTTTTGAAGCTATAATAAAACTCCCTTTGTGCCAAAGCTATTAAGCAGCATTTCCCCGAAGCAAGAGATGTCTCGAGAGAAATCCTGCAGATTCTCAATCAAAAGTTGTCTTTTTTTCCATTAATTTCAACAGGCTAAATCCGCCTGCCTACTTTTAATCCTGGCATGTTATTTGAGTTGAAAACATCACTGGATGGAGACATCAAATGTTCAATTTATTGTACACTCATTTGTTTTTTTTTTACATTACTTCCCAGTGAAACATTTAACAGGCCCACAATTTATACAGTATGAGCTCTTACAGGAAATATTGTTCATACAGTTTTACACTCAATCTTCCCAAAGACTTATGTGCATTAATTCCTAGAAAAAGTAATAGATTTACATTAGCTTTCAGAAAATATCAGGACATCATACCAAGATGATGTACTCTGCACAGTTAATAAGACTACAAAAACCTCTAGTTACTGAATAGTAATCTGGTTCAGCAGCGGTGTTGGGCAAAGTTAGGGCATAAGTAGAAGTGGGGAGCAGGGCAGCGAAGCCCTTCAGCTCAGGGGAAGCGGAATGCTAAAGTTTTGCAGCACCTGGTTTAGCCTCAGGAAGCAGTCAGAGGTGCACTTGGTTGCTGACCAGACAAACCTGCGCCTAATCCTCTCCGGAATTATGTAGGCAGGATGCATCCCTCCAGGGGGGAGAGTGCGCATTCCATTCCACCCATCTATCTCTGGAATTTCCCGGGTGCAGGTGAGATGTATGGAATTCTCAGTTTGGATTGGATGCTCTTGAGCACGGTGATGGGTTTCCTCACCTTGTCAGATGCTTGTCTGACCCCCCAAAAAAAAATTGCTGATGAGAACGAAACTAGTGGAGCTCCACACGTGTGTGGTGTCTTTTTTGTGGGGTGCACTTTCCTCAGAAGCTGCTCAGCCTGCTTATCTGATCCTGGAGAATCTAGGTTCAGGAAGGCAAGAGCAAAGGCGTGGGGGATCGGAGATATCCCGGTATCCTCAGACTACTGCTGGAGTTTAATCAGTTAAAATTGCACAGTCTTAGCTAATCAACTCTCGCTTTAATGATGTTGTT